CTTACATATAAAAAAAACTATCTTAACCTAAGTTAATATAAATTTTATATATAACTAGCTTTTGCCCGTGGCTTCGCTCGCGTTAATTTATCCCCTTAGGGGTAGAATTAATCAAAATCCTTTCTCAGCGGATGCCTACGTCATAACATCTACCTGCATGCCAAATTTCAGCCCGATCCGTCCAGTGGTTTGGGCTGAGCGCTGATAGATCACTATGTCAGTCACCTTTGAGTTATATATATAGATATAATATTATTAAACACTTCATACAGCGCCATCTAGTACCAAGTTAAGCAGAGCTTGTGTTATGGGTACTAGACAACTGATATAAATACATAAGTACATACTTTTTTTTAGATACATAATATACATAGAAAACATCCAGACGTATACAAACAATCATACTCATGAATGCTGAATACAAATGTTTGTGCCGTGCGAGGAATCGATCGCGTGACCATCGGAAGTATGACGGTGTGCTAAACCACTAGGCCACCGTTGCCGTCTATATAAAATTCTCGTGTCGCAGTGTTAGTTTAGTAGAAATATGTGAAATACTTTACCGAAACGGAATAACCGGCATTTCTCCGAAACGGCACAGCCGATTTTAATTAAATTTTATGTAATGGGTACTTGGTAGTTTAGAAAATTGTTATGTATATTTTTACACCTAAGTGACAAGGGTGTCCAACCCTGAAATCTTTTTTTTATTATTTGGATATTTTTTTATGAATAATCATTCAAACATACAACCCTACATTTTCACACTTCTAACTTTAATAGCAATAGTGTCAACCCCTATTTTTTAATATGAAATTAGTACTTTGTTTCTATCAAAACAACATTTGCCGGGTCAGCTAGTATACATTTTTCAAAAATTGCTCGAAAGGAGTACGAAATTTCACACAGTGATAAATCCTTGATATGTCACGATGGGCTAACTGATCTGACCTCATCACATCTTATAATCTTCCACTTATACTTCCAAAAAAAAAATAGGATGTTGGGCCAGTGGGTGCAGTGCCACAGTGGTTTCGGTTGGTCCTGTTTATGCGCCTATTCTTCTGTACCATGACGAAGCCATTGTCGCCACAGTCATCAGTGTTAAGAGCACACGTAGGAGCCACGCTCGGTGCCACCTTCGGCGCACGTCGTTACAGTTAATAATGTTCAAAATTATAATTTAAATTAATTACTAGTTTCGACCACTAGTTGACCACTAGATATTATTAATATACATATTATAATTTTAGTCTAGAAGTGTATCGATGATTTACAAAAACAGTTTTTATTACTATAATTTATTGGCGTTATAAACTGCTATTTCACAAGAAAAACAAGTCATAGCGATAAGAAAAACAACAAGCGAAATAGCAAAACAACAATATTATCACAGATCATAGACTAGTTGTTTGCCCTGCTTTGTTCGGGTTTGAATTTTGAACCTTATCATTACATAGTATAAAACCATGTCGTTGTCGCAGTTTGTCCGTCGCTATGTATGCTTATATCTTTAAAACTACGCAACGGATTTTGAAGCGATATTTTTAATAGATAGAGTGATTCAAGAGGAAGGTTTATATGTATAAAACACGCTGCGAAGCCGGGGTGAGTAGCTAGTAAATATTTTAAACGCGAAAGTTTGTGAGTATGGATGTTTGTTACTTTTCACGCAATAACTACTGAACGGATTTTGATGAAACTTTACAGTAATATAGCTTATCCATCAGAATAACATATAGGCTATAAATTTTACGCGGGCGAAAATTTATATTTGCCCTCGGACTAAAGTCGTATCTGTCAGGCGGGAGTTGGCCTTAAGTTCTTCCGCCGGTTTGGAGTGCCATCTGTACATTATTGTAAACACATACATAACCTACATTGAACTGAAAACACCGATACATTAAAACACTCATACACATGAATATAAATGTTTGTGTGCGAGGAATCGAACCAGCGACCATTAGAAGTAAGGCAGTGAGCAAACAGCCACTGAGGCTGTCAGTAATAACAAAGTCATAAAAATTTCTCTTCAAATAGTAAGATTCTTATCATGTTATGGTTTACTTTCTCTTTCCTACTTCTATCTGTGAACGGCGACAAAAAACGTCGACCGCGATGGTCATTGCCGTTAAGTGTTATTATTTTACCATTTTAGGGTTCCACACGAACATTTAAAAGCCTACCTTTTACTTCTTGGTGGGCGTGGTATAACACTAGTCAATTTCTGCGACTCCGATCGCTCTCGCGACTTATTTTACCATTCTAGAGATCTACATGAAATTTAAAGGTTAACTTGTAGATAGATAAATGCTCAATCTATCTTTTCTGTATTATATAAAACTAGTCGTTAAAAGCGACTTCGATCACTTTTTTTTTGTGATTAATCATGACTTATTTTACCATTTCACCACCACCTTTTACTTAAGGATAGATAGATTCTTTGTCTATTTTTTCTTTGAGTTGTATAAAACTACGTCCTTACGTAAGAATGCGATCGCTTTTTAGATTAAAACGTAGCCTATTACCATTTATATTAGTAATCGAACCCGCGACTATAACAGCCACCAGCCAATCACTAGGCCACCGATACCGTCAAACGAATAGACAGATAGATTCTCTTCCACATTTATAATGTACTACCTACTACCATTTATAATGCTACCCACCCCAGCTTTGCACGGGTGTACATGCATTATAGGTATAAACCTTCCTCTTGAATCACTCTATCTATTAAATAAAAGCGCTTCAAAATGTGTTTCGTAGTTTTAAAGATTTAAGCATACATAGGGACGGACAGACAGCGACTTTGTTTTATAATATGTAGTGATGTAATGTACGAAACCCACGATATAATATTTGGATTCGCGCTTGCCTACTTTTTCACAATAATGTTCTATTAATAGAAAGGTACATGTAGTCAGACTATTGACTATAAAACTCTTGTTTTTGTTGTGGTTTTATTTAAATTGTTTTTTTTAATTAATTATAATGGAATGATTGTGTTTGGATTTAATTTAAATGTAATATAAAAGTAATTACATATATATGTCAATAATTTAGAAGGTATGACGAAGTTAACATGCTCTATTCTGATCCTAAACTCCTAAATAAAGAGAGAAAAAAAGATAATGGAATGGTGCACCCGTTTGTGAGAACGGTATACGCTAGCGGGGTACCAGTGGAGGGAGATAGGCTGAGCATGATGTCAGGTCAGTTAGCCCATCGTGGCAAATTCACCAGAAATTTATCAGGATGGTTTCAATAGAACCGTGTGGAGATCAACCAGACATGGTACATTGCTAGGTCTGAGGTCATTAATCCAAATTACTAACAATCTTTCTCACATTACAGTGGCATTGAAAACTTTTACGCATTTAAAAATAGTTTTATTAATACGTAAAATTAGGAAAAATCACGGGATCTTACAACGTTTTATTTATTTTTAATGAGTTCCCGGTATTTCGGCAATGTTTCAACCGTGATTGTCACGGATAATCTAAATTTTCCTAATACATAAATGTAATATAGATAAATAATGAATGCGTCTAATTAAAAAAAAGTGTATGCGCGGACGCAGTATGAAATATCGCACACTTATATTATAGCTTATATAGAGAAGGAATGAGAATGCATAACAATACATAAAATCAATGAAAAACAACATTACAAACATTACCATGTATTTAACACACGCAGATATTCGTTCTTGTTTGTTTATTGTTAAAGTCTGTGGTCAAATTGAGAATAGATTATTAATATCTTTAATGTTTATTTATTTACGTCATACTAAACGAGCGTTACAGTTTTCAAATATACCCACTTAGGAAGATTGTATACATATACACAAACTTATACACACTAGTTACTAATATATAAGTATATATACAGTAATTACACAAGGAAAAAAAAATAAAAACAATCTTAATTTTACATACTAATAATCTACTGCCATCCCACGAAACTCCAGTAACTAAAAATTACTAGTAAATGTGTCTAGGTCTGGAAAGCGACTAACTAACCGTTGAGTAGACTCAATGCCAGAGATATAGGAGGCTGTTTGGCCAGCTCTGTTCTTCTCCATGTTATTCTTACTGAATGTTAAATTAATTATGGTCGAATTTCGACCATTGTCCGACCACTGTATAGGTTTATTAAGTCATACAGTTATTGTTTAAACACATTAAAATGCATTGAATGCGGAGGTCAAGGCGATATGAGAATATCTATTCGATTGAAACAAAGGAAACGAACGCATGCGAATTTAATATCTATGTCTCGTCAATTAAGTTCCAATTTGAATTATGTTTGCGCTCAGGAAAGTTTCTAGAATTTAATGGCGTCGGTGGTCTAGCAGTTTAGTACATTGCGATGGCCGCAGATTCGATTCTCCGATGATATCTGTCTACTAATAAATATGTATTTACAAAATAAAAATGTATTTAAGCATTTCTGCAAATTCTAATTACCATAGTAAATGGTCTACATATTTTGAGACTAGATGGCGCGGTGTCAGTTGCCCTGGATATTTGTTTTGATAATAATCAAAAATTATCAAACTCTTTTATGGTTCTTAATACACGGTAAAATAAAACGGTTAAACAACGTCACAGACATCCTATGATATCCTTGGTACTACTCCTGTTTTGCTATTTATTTATTTATTCATTTAATTCGTATATGAATACATATTATGTTAGTAAACAATTATAAACTATGTTAGTAAATTAAAATTTAAATAATTTAATTCATATATTAATGTCTATTTCCACGTCCAGAAGCACTGGGTCAGCAGCAGTGCACCGATGCCCAGAGTATCTGGAGCGTACAATCCGACATATTTGATATCGTGTTATCTAACTATTGTAGAAGACCAAGCTATTATATCTTCGTGCTTTGTAATTTCACTGCCATATCTCACCCGAAACACAGCGAGGTCATCCAGTTGTTGAGCTATAAGGATAATATATTTCTTAACGCGTACGCCTGTTCTGTTCCAGGGTCATACCAGCCAAGCAATGAGCTGATGTTGCGGTTCTACAGCTACTTCAAGCAAGCGACAGATGGACCGTGCGACAAACCCAAGCCTGGCTTCTGGGATGTGGTCAACAGGTTCGTTCAAGCATTGTCTTATTTTTCAATTGTTTTGACGGCTTCGATGGTCTAGCGATTCAGCACGCTTTACGTTCGAAGATCGCGGGTTCGATTCCTCCCACGGTGCGAACATTCATGAGATTGAACATAAGATTGTCTGTATAGGTCTGGGTGTTTTTTATGTATATTGTGTGTTATTTACAAAAAAAAGACAATTGATATAAATATCTATATTTATATCAGTTGTCTAGTAACCATAACACAAGCTCTGCTCAACTTGGGACTAGATGGCGCTATGTGAATTGTCCAAGGTTATTTATTTATTTTTAATTTTCATGTTCAATACTAACAATCCCTCCCTTCTCCCTGATTTATGCAGTTGTAACATATGTTTATATAGATAGTCATATCTACGGTTCCACCTAATAAATTTGCTGTTAGAATGTTAGCAAGCCGTGTTCCGGTCTACATATTGAGCTACGGCAGTCAAGTTATTGAGGGCATTTTATTCTGATGGTAAACGGTAGTCTATGGACGTCTGAAACGCCAAGGGTGCGCATTGCCTACCCTTACGAAACCTTAAGGGGGTCTTCCTATGTGATGGGTTGAAAAAATCGATTTTTTTTTTCATAAATTGCTCCCTTAACATGTCTAGAATACGGTAGTAAAGCGATTTTAGAAAATTCGAAGTCGTTTTAAAGATACAGCAGGTAAAAGAAAGAGCGGTTCGGAGCGGTGAGTTGGCAGTTAGAGACCGGGCCTATTGTGTACCGTCGGCTTTATACCTGGCCTCCCTTTTATTAATATATTTGTTTATACAAGTTTAGACACGTTTCTACAGACTTAAACAGAAAAGGAGCAGGTAAACTTACTGATAAAGTTATCCAAGAAATTACAAAATTCTACGGATTAGCAATTCGACGCCATCCAGATTCGCTTGAAGATATGAGAAAGGAAGTTTGGGCAACGTACTATCACAAATGTTCTTCTGATGAAAACCCTCAGCATCAATTTTGTCCAGAAGGCGAAGACAGTTGGTGTAAATGGCGTAAGGCTGAAGCTAATAATGAACTGGACCAATTTCATCACGATAAACCACCTCTAATTCCGCAAGTCCAAGAAGCTATCAAACCGGTTTTCGAAGATTTATCGAAAGACGAATTATTAATTCGTTGTTTAGGAGCAGAGACACAAAACAATAACGAATCTTTGAATTCTTTGATTTGGACTTTCGCTCCTAAACATCTTCATTCTGGTCCCAAAGTTGTTGAAATTGCTAGCTACTTAGCAGTTATTATCTTTAATGAAGGTTTTCAAGGTATTTTAAAAGTTATGTCGATTATGGGATGCCCTGTTGGTCGTGAAGCCCAAGCGTATGTTGAGAAACGGGATGAAAAGCGAATCTTACGCTCTGAGCGGCGCGTAAGTGATGTCGTTAAACAAGCCAGGATTGACTCAAGAGCTGAACAATCTGCTTTAAAAGAGTTTCACGAGGAAGAGGAAGGAATACTCTATGGACCAGGCATCGCCGATTGAGAGTAAGTTGATATTTTAATAGTTTTTAACGGACTTGAAACTTTAAACGCGTTTTTCTCAAAACTGTGTTTTTCAAACTTTCCTCCATTGTATCTCAGAAACGGCTGGACCGAATTACTTGAAATTTACAGGGCACACTCAATATATGTAAACGCATGGAATGAATTATTATCAATCGAAAATTTTCAAAACTTCGATTTTTTTATAGCAAAAAACAAAAAAAAAAACGCCTAATTTGCAACTTTTATTTCAAATGTCTATCAAAAATCCAATTTTTTTTATATTCATTTGATTATAGGTCATTCCGTGCTTTTAAGCCTACAAATTAAAACGCCGTTTTTTTTTTTTTTCAGATAAGCCGATCAGCCGGAATCGTGGAGGAAGTGGGAGCTCTTTTTTTCGAGGCGGGGGTGTTCAGAGCGCTGTAACTCTAGTTTGACTGAATATTTTTAGCTGAAATTTTATATTTATACTGTCCAAATATGTGTTAATAAATGATAAAAAACTTGAAGCTCTAAATATTTACTGGTCGTAGAAAAAAAATCCTAAAATATCCCTAAAAAACAGGCCGTCACATAGGAAGACCCCCTTAATATACTATTCTCGAAAAACCCCATATTATAGTCTTTCGAGAAGACCTCGGCAGGTCTGTTTTTTAATCCCGAAGACTATATATAAACATTATTTGAAATTTGACATTTGCACCTGTCAATTTAGTCTTCGGGAGTACCTGTAGAGGGTAGTACCTGCGATACCGATTTGTTTAATCGGAAACTTTTATTTTAACATTAGTTTTAAGGCTTTAAACGAGGATTACGTATATGTACTAGTGTTTCCATTACTGACGTTGTATTATACAACATAAAAATACATTTTTGTCACATCCGTAAAAATAGTAATTTTTACAGTATTAAGGTATAAATCAACATTTTTTTCTTTCAAACAGCTAAATATTTCTGAAAGGTGTATATTTAATGATATATGACAATATAAGAAGGTTATTTATTATTAAAAAGGCAGTTAGTCTTACATTTTAGTGAAAAATAAAAAATGCATTATGATACAACAACCATGTGTTTATTAATATCTATACTTTATAAATTTTGTGATAATCCTTTTTAAATCAACACCCACACATTATTTCTGAGTAACCTATAAAAATGTGTAATTAATATTAATTTCCGATATTGCCACAAGCCTATTTAAATAATGCAAAAACTTGGTAACATCGGTAATGTCAAATTTGTGTCCGCGATTGAAAAACAGATTATAGTTCATTCCACAATCTAAGTGCACGCAATAGGAAGTAAAAAAAAGAACTAACGAAACTTACAATAATTCGACATTGCTTTTTTTATTTCAGAGCAAAATGGGAGTCGTGGAACAAACTTGGTAACATGACGAAAGATGAGGCGATGCAGGCGTACGTAGACGAATTACACAAGGTAAGACAATCTGCGTACAGATTAATATATATAATAATACGTGTAGCAAAAACTTTGTGTATAGAAAATTTTTCTTAATGACAACAGTATGTATGGGTGTACTTGTGTTATACTATACATATAAAGCTTCCTCTTGAATCACTCTATCTATTAAAAAAAGCCGTATCAAAATCCGTTGCGTAGTTTTAAAGATTTAAGCATACATAGGGACGGACAGACAGCGACAGCGACATTGTTTTATACTATGTAATGATGATGATACTAATATAATAGTATAAAGCTGAAGAGTTTGTTTCTTTTTGTGAGAACTCCCTTTACTTCAAATTATATCAAAATATATTTTTCATGTAGGTCTATTACAGACTTATGATATGTCAAATCTACCGTCAGTGCGGAATGATTTCAAGATGAGAAGAACTGACAACAAACTCAGCTCGTATTCTTTTCAAATAAATGTTGTACATGTTTACAATAATACAGATTCATTTATTTATTCTATTTTGGAGAATAGAGTGACCACTACACATACAATAAACATTTCTATATGCAATGGACTTATTGTACAGTAAACAGGCAGGTGCGGGTGACCATGCAAATATTGTACTTTATTTATTAGCGAGGTTCAAACCCTAGGGGTTTGAACGGTGCACTCAGACTAAAGTCGTATCCGTCAGGCAGGAGTTGGCCTTCAGCCGCTCCATAAGCCCTTCCGCGGGTTTGGAATGCCATCTGCACTCGCCCCCTATCGTCCGGTAAAGCTGTAAAGGCCAGCTGCGGCCGACAGCATAAGAGTGAAACGAAAAAAAAATATTTTCATATTTTTAAAAAAAGTTAAGTACATTAACTTTTTTTCTATTCGTTAAAAATTTCTGATTTTCAGATCGTAGAGACGATGTCGTACAGTTCAGACGTAGCCTCTTTCCTATCAGTGGATGATGATAGTCAGGGTTTCCCCAACAACGACCTGGAGCTGGTCGCCGGTGATATACTGGCGCGCGTCAGGTCCGAACACAACACACCAGTTGGTAAGTTGGTATTGTAACAAGATAACCTAAGGTTGTATAACGTGTAAATAAAGTAAATGGATGTAAATATCTATCTATCTTATTAATATTATAAACGTTGTTTGTGAGTGTGGAGAGTGTGGATAGATGAATGTTTGTTACTCTTTCACGCAAAAACCGGTTAACGGCAAAAAAAAAAACTTAGCGGTTTTTAATTAAACTTTACAATAATATAGCTTATGCATCAGAATAACACATAGGCTATAAATTACACGCAGGTGAAACTGCGGGTAGAGTTAGTCTATTATATAAAATAAATAATAAAAAATTAATAATCCTGTACAATTAACACAGTGTCATCTAGTCCCAAACTAAGCAAGCTTGTGTTATAGGAACTAGACATTTTTTTTTGTAAATACATATTAAACATAGAAAACACCCAGACCGATACAAACAACCATACTCATGAATACAAATGTTAGCACTGTGCGAGGAATCGAACACGCGACCATTGGAATAATGCAGTGAGTTTAACCGCTAGACCACCGAGGCTGTCGTATGTTTGTATATTAGTATGTATCATCATCGCAGCCCGGAAGACGTCCACTGCTGGACATAGGCCTCCCCCAAAGATCTCCACGACGATCGGTCCTGCGCTGCTCGCATCCAATGCCTTCCCGCGATCTTGACCAGATCGTCGGTCCACCTTGCTGGAGGCCTTCCCACGCTGCGTCTTCCGGTCCGTGGTCGCCACTCGAGGACTTTACTGCCCCAACGGCCATCTGTCCTACGAGCTATGTGCCCTGCCCATTGCCACTTCAAAGTATTAGTATGTATATATTTCTATTTTGTTAGATTCAAGGTCTGTGAGCGGCGAGTCGTCTCCGTTACGCAGCCCGTCGCCGACACGTCAACGACACGACGACGACGACGACGAGTTCATTGACACCGTCGACATGGACGCTGTATGTACTGCATTTGTAATTCTATATTTATTATTACTACTGACCCAGCAAACATTTGAGAAAATTGAGAAGACAAAAATAGAAATATAGTATATAGTATATATGTTCAAACTTATAATTTTAATTATTTATGGACGAATTTCGACCAATTTGCGGCCACTAGTTATTATTAACTTGCTACTCGCCCCGGCTTCGCGCGGGTGTACATGTATTATACATATAAACCTTTCTCTTGAATCACTATATCTATTAAAAAACTGCTTCAAAATCCGTTGCGTAGTTTTAAAGATTTAAGCATACATAGGGACGAACAGACAGCGACAGCGACTTTGTTTTATACTATGTAGTGATATACATGTTACTAGCTGGCCCCGCAAATATTGTTTTGCCATATAATTTAAAATCGATATTAAAAAGTAGGGGTTAGTCATAGAAGGGTGAAAATTTAGGGATGTATGTATTTTTTAATGGCAATTTTTTTGTCTCCGTGATTAAAATACAGACTATACCTTAATAATATTTTAAGTATATGGATGTTTGTTACTCTTTCACGCAAAAGCTACTGAACGGATTTTGTTGAAACTTTCCAGTAATATAGCTTATGCATCAGAATAACTATATTTTTTTATTGAAATTTAACGCGGGTGAAACCGCGGTCACAGCTAGTATCTACATATATAATTAGACTATTTTTTTAAAGAAACCACAACTCCTGATTTTACTCAAGTTGTACATTATTGCAGCACGAAGCGGAGGCTACCCAGCGAGCTGCGCTGCGGCTCAGTAACGGACACGCACATCAGATATCCTCACAACTCACACGTGAGTCTATCTTTATTAAGGGCCATACAGAAATATGTCACATAATAGTTTGGGGTCTTTTCCTCATGGATGATAATGCAATGGTGCACCCACCTGCTCTGACGGTTTATGCTGGCGGAGCACCAGTGGAGGATGAGGTCAGATCAGTTAGTCCATCGTGACAAATTCATCGAATAGTTATCATGTTAGTTTCCAAGGGGAACTCTATGGAGGTTAACTTGGCAGGTATATTGCTAGCATTAAGATCATCAATCCACATTACTAACAATTACCTTTCCCCCTATGGAAGTCAGTTGTCAGGGTCGACACTGTGTGACATGGTTTATTTTAATAGATGATAATGGTATGGTGCACACATCTGCGCTAACAGTTTATACTGGCAGGGTACCAATGTAGTATGATTCCATCTGTACAAAGGGGCATCCGAAAATTACGTCACATAAGGGGGATGTGGTCGACATAGTCTATTTTTACTGGATGATAATGGTATGGTGCTCTCCTACGCTAACGGTGTGCCCTGGTGCCCCACCAGCGTATACCGTTAGCGCAGGCGGGTGCACCATTCCATTATTATGCCTAAAAAAAATCTACATTTCTGGGGGCAAAAAGGATTGTTAGTAATGTGGACTAATGATCTTATTGCTAGCTATGTACCATGTTAGATTGATCTATACGCGCGGTTCCCACTGGAAATCATCGTGATACATTCTTGGTGAATTTGTCATAATGGCCTAAATGACCTGACGTCATACTCATCTTATCATCCTCCACAGAAGCCCACTCCATTATCATCCATAAAAAATCTACATTACTAATATTTGTACACCATTTGTTGCATTACAGATCTGAAGGTGTTGGAACAGTTGCCCGGCACGCTGGCGCGGCTCGAAGCAGATGTAGCGGCACTCAGGAAGGCCGTCGAAGGCGACCGCAGATTGCTTGATGTGAGATTTTAACATACATTCAATTTTCGACCTTATCCAATCAATACAAAATATCTTTATTCATGTAGCTCTATTACAGACTCTTATGATATGTCAAAAACTACCGTCAGTTCGGAGAGCATTTGAGCTAAGAACTGACGGGACACTCTTATTGTTTTCAAATGTTATTATACGTGCTTACAAACACAGATTCATTTGAAAATTATAATTAGGGATAATAGTGTACCTACCAGCGTGCTATTGCAATTTTGTCAAAAGGAAATAGTCTAATCAGTGGCCATAACCCGAATGGACCAGTTCCCACAAGCAGCATCCGATCACAATTTACATTTACATACCATATGAACTTCAAAAAATTTGGTTCTCAATTTTAGTAGGTTTTCATGGGATATGTTGATTTCGATGATTCTTTTTTATTTAAAATTTAATAGGTATTCGGTAGGTAGCTTATTTGAATGGTTTAAATTGCACAGAATTACTCTCTTATAAATATAGACATATTACTCTTATATTACAGTACAACTCGACATAATATTAAAAGTTTGTGTCATTACACATGATCTGCAGCAATACAAAATGCAATGATAATTATCAGCTTCAACCTATTTAAGGGCACGTGAAATTAATTAATAAAAAAACACCATTAAAAATCGGAATCCTAGAAATTAGATCCATATAGGGCAGCGTTAGTTTCCCTCGAGAATTTGAGCGTGTATTGCTATCTCTGTCCTTTGAACCGTATAGCATCACGCTTGTTTCTCTAGAGAAGTTGAGCGTGTATTGCTATCTCTGTCCTTTGAACCGTATAGCATCACGCTTGTTTTTCTAGAGAAGTTGAGCGTGTATTGCTATCTCTGTCCTTTGAACCGTATAGTATCACGCTTGTTTCTCTAGAGAAGTTGAGCGTGTATTGCTATCTCTGTCCTTTGAACCGTATAGCATCACGCTTGTTTCTCTAGAGAAGTTGAGCGTGTATTGCTATCTCTGTCCTTTGAACCGTATAGCATCACGCTTGTTTCTCTAGAGAAGTTGAGCGTGTATTGCTGTCTCTGTCGTGCATCGCGCTAGTTTCTGTAGAGAAGATTGATTTTTGCAGTCTCTATCATTAGACTAAAGTATATTTTTGAGTTCTATATAACGACAGTAATTGAAACACTAGTATAGGTACTAAAATTTTGAAAATATGTTGCTGAAACGTCGTATAAAGTTTTAAAATAAAAACTTACAATTAAAGAAATCGCTATCACAGATGCAGTACTACCCCGCTACAGTTGGTAACATTATTAAAACATCTACTAATTTAGTCTCCGAGATTAAACAACAGACTGTAGAGAAGGTTGAGCGGGTATTGCTATCTCTTTCATATGCTTTCGCGCTAGTTTATCTCGAGAAGGTGGACAATATATAGCTATCTCTGTGGTTTGGTCGCAGCAGCAGGCTCGCTGGCGCTGGCCGTGGCAGGACCTGTCGACGCCCACGCTGGTGTTCGTGCTGGCGTGGCCTCTGATCGCCTTCCGTCTGCTGCAGCGCCTCCAGAGGCCAGCCAAGAACACGTGAGTATGCATACATACTATTTTCTTTTATATTATAAACTAGCTATGCCTGCGGTTTTACCCGCGTTAAATTTCAATAAAAAATATAGCCCATGTGTTATTCTGATGCATAAGTAATATTACTGTAAAGTTTCATTAAATTCCGTCCAGTAGCTTTTGCGTGAAAGAGTAAGAAACATCCATACTCACAAACTTTCGCGTTTATAATGTTATTAAGAGTATCTGACCTGCACAACTTCAGCTGCATCATACTTACTTAGCTTAGATCATTCGATTTCGCGCAATTTACATGATATCTTTTTAAATTTGTAAGGGGCTGTTCAAGTATTACGTAAGCAGATTTATCACAATTATTTACCCCCCATCCCCCGTTGTCAGCAAAAGTAAGCAAAGCTCTTACCCCCTCCACCCATGCTTACGTAAACATCTCTCAATTAATGTATTGTTTTTTTTAGCAAAGACAATGTGAGGGTTGCCATTCGTGTAAAAAAGTAAATTACGACCGATGACGTAATCATCATACAGACTCCCCCACCCCCATGTCATCCAAAATAAGCAAAGAAAAGACCCCCCGCCCCCCTATAGTGCTTACGTAATACTTGAACGGCCCCTAACCTGTGTTATTCTATTTCTTATATATAAGCTATATTATTGTAAAGTTTCATCAAAATCCTTTTAGTAGTTTTTGGGTGGAAGAGTAACATCCATGCATTCGTCCATTATTAATAATTTCTTTATTTTTTTTCAGTTTTAGTAGTTATTGTTGTGTCGTGGTGTGAGTTGAAATAAATTTATTCTATGCTATTAGATTCTAAATATGTTGTAGATCTACATGTATAAAGATAGATATAGATTTGATTTGATTTGATTATTTGTTTTTACAGATCTTAACGGCTTGGTGCAACAATCATCTAGTTATAAAGAAATGGGGAACACAAAGTGTCTGATAGACTTAGTTGTCTGTGGTTTTACGGTACGGGTGTCGTCTATGGTATCCAACTTTGTGAATTATACGGGATTTTTATATGTCGGTGTGCTGTGCCACAAGTTTTGTGATAACGTGCATTTTTTTATATAATTTTCTTTTATATATATTTGCAAAAACAACACTATTTCGTTATAGTATTTCCGTTCAAATCTGTGACAATAAAAAAACATTTTTGATCACTATGGTCCAAAATGAAAGTACCACATTTAAAATTATGGACGGCCACGGAGGTGCACGCCGCCTTGTTTCCGATAGTCGCTAGTTCGATTCTCACAACATTTGTATTACTGAGCATGATTATTTATCTCATAATAATTTCATAATTTTTTTCTTTTCTTTTTTCCTAAAAAAAAAAACAAATATATTTTAGCTTGTAATACAAGCGATATCTCTGTTAGATACATTACAGATCCAGAAAAAGCTGGGCTGAATTGCTAGTATCTATAATAAAAACTAGCTTCTCGCCCCGGCTTCGCATGGGTGTACATGTATTATCCTTCCTCCTGAATCACTCTATATATTGCTAAAACTGCATTAAAATCCGTTGCGTAGTTTAAAAGATCTAAGCAAATAGATAGCGGAAGCGATTTCATTTTATATAATACTATATACAGATGATTAAGAACAACAAATTCAAGTAATATATTTAACAAATCAAATTTAATGCACGTTCTCATAAAATTTCAATAATATTATGGTGAGGTGTTTTTTTTATATAGATAATAATTGTGACGTACGTCTAGCGTGACCATTAATTCTGTGAGAGTGGGACGTCTATAAAATAATAATAGAATAGATTAAAAAATAATTTATTCAAATAAAGTTACATTGAAGCACTTTTGAATAGATATCATCATCGTAATATAATTAAATTACAGGATTGTCTCCAAAGCCAGTAACAGTTATTACGGTCTGAGTGGTCTAACGGTTTAGCACATCGCTTTACGTCCGATAGTCACGGGTTCGATTCCTCGCACGGTACACACATTTGTATTCATGAGTAAGATTGTTTGTATCGGTCTGGGTGTTTTCCATGTATACATAATATGTATATATATCAACTATCTAGTACCCATAATATTTTTAGTATGAAAAGATGAACATTGCTTTTCTAATTTCCACTTTATTTCTAGGGGAAATTGGTTTAATTTCATTAGTTATTAGTTTCGACTAGGTGTACTCTATACGACTGACTTTGTGTATAAAAGTAATGATTTATTCTTTTACTCTTCTTCTTTTTATCCCCATTGTTTTCTTTCTCACTCTCGACTCTATTTCTAACATATATGTGAGTGTTGGAGGCACACAGTTTAAAAACGGGACTGTCCCTCTCATAGCGGAATATATGGTTACGTTACTAATGAAGTGAAATGTGTATATGTCCACTAGTGCGCAGTCGGTTAGTTAAATTAAATACAATTTAAAGTCCTAAGTGTACTTTAGTTGACATTCAAAATTGAACCATTATTCCAATGCAGTAGAATTTAATGTGGAATGAATTTATATTGTAAATAGTCCGTTTTGTGTTAATAAATAAAAAATATGCAGTGCGTATCAGAGATGCCAACCGTACAAAAAGTCTTGTACAGGATTTGTGGTTTTAGATTAAAGTAAATATACCAATGACTCTGTAACTGTAATTTTGTATGAGATTTCGATATTTTTCAGCGCAGTCAGAATTTTTTATCTAGTGTCAATTATTTTTGTTGATTGTTTTCGTTAATAAAAGAAATCTTAGTGAACGCAAACATTTTTACGGTTGGCAAACCTGCTATAGATTGGGACAATAGCACATACTTATAATATCTCGCAGTGATTGCTCAAAGCCAGTGCTCACACTTGTAAGACCCTAAAGATCGTGAATTGTAATCTGGGTGTAATTTAATAACTGTATGTGAATTTATATTACTGACAGGCTCTCCGGTTTTGGAAATACGATAACAAAACCAAATTAATCCGAGAGACGCGATAGTTCCGCCCTCTGCTATGTTGATTTCAAATAAGGGCATCCGTACATTACGTCACATATTCATTCATGATCTTTTAACCCATCTCCTTGTCACATTATGTGACTCTCCCTTCCCTAGTGTAACGTCTCAATTTCATGATCTTTTGTCCCCTGCCGCCCCGTCCTCATCCCGGCTGGTCACATTGTGTGAATCTCCCTTCTCTAGTGTGATGTCAAATATTTAGTCCCTCACCCTCGTCCTTGTCACAGCTGATCACATTGTGTGACACTCCCTACCCTAGTGTGACGTCAAATATTTCTTGATATTTTGTCCCCCCGCCTACGTCCTTATCTCGGCTGGTCACATTGTGACTCTAGGGCCACCCCTAGTGTGACGTCACGTATTCTTGACCTTTTACCTACGTCCCCACCTACGTCTTTGTGACGGCTCCTCACATTGTGTGACTCTCGCCTCCTAGTGTGACGTCATATATTTATACTATTCCACAACAATACTTCATAATCAATATATACAGCATTTTCGTTGTAATTTTAAATATCGTGTTTTAATACTCGATATGTTAGATTTTGAAATGTGATATAACAAATTTAGGACATTCTTTGCCAATATTTCCCTCTCGTGTGACGTAATTTGTGGATGGCCCCTTTTAACCTGCGTAATGTGGCCATATCGTGCCTCTGACTACCACATCTGGGATTGTAGTCGTAATGGTAATTTTTTTCGTATGTATAAACGATATATTCCATTATAGCGATTTATAATGGCGATTCCATATCACAAACACCATTTCATTGTTACCTAATTTGATAATTTTAATATTTTTATACACATATTTAGATGAAATAAGTGGCAAACTATGTTATTATGTATGTTATTTTGTGATATATAGTTAATAAACAGTTACCTATATATTTGTTTTATTCTTACCTCTTTTTTGAACTGAAACTTCTACAAGGATAGGGTTCCAGTTCAAGTGGTTCGCAGACCTTTACGGGCCGTTATTCGGTACGGCATAAGCTCTTTACACGGGTATACTACTGGGGTGAAGCACGGCGGCGTCGCACAGTGGGAACTCGCCTAAGAAAGCCATCTCATAAATACTTTTTCTAAAACTCCGTGGATATGCATGTATAATACCTCAAATTGTAGCCAAAGAGTTACTCTATCATTATAAATATGATTCAAATCTCTGACTATTCTTACTTCATAGAATAGAGCCTCTAAAGTCAAGGAATGAAAAAATTACAAAAATAATTTTGTAACTTAAATTTGTTTGGTATAAGTTTATAGTATCAAAACAATATCAAGTCATATAGTGTGATACCATTTTAGAATGCTTAGAATGTGTACTTTACTATAAAATAAAAATGTATTTAGTTTAGTCGAATATTATTTAACTAAAAATCCATATATTGCTATATGTACTATTTTCTTTTCTCAGACTTTCGCTTGGAGATTTGACAGTTGCCGAAGCTTGCCGAAGTTCTAAATTTGGTTTTATTTATTAGGAAATATAATATAATTAAGTCCGCCATATGTACTTTTACCTTGGTATTTTGTGCATTGAACTTACATAAATATAAATAAATAAATAATTTGATGGCATAACATTTTTTTTGCAGTTACACTGCGTAAAATATTTAAATCGAGTATAATAATCATGGTGAGGTTTGTTTTTTCTAAGTACGTATATTAAGATTTTCTTCTTTATTTGAGATTCTCTGTCTGAATATTCAAAAAAATACTTTTTGCTCAATTATTACTATATATTTTATCTTTTGCCTTACTTTTATCACAGATAACATAATATTACATACAGATACCCCATCCCATACAAGAAAATGGTTCCTTCCTAACTCGGGCTATTTTATTTCGCCGCCGTAGCCGCTAGATGTCTCTAGATCTGAAGCAGTTCGCATTACTAGTATACTAGACAAAGCACGAAAATAGATGGCAGTCAATTCAGTCTACATGACATCTGTTTTGCAAAGATAGGTATATAATAGATATGCAGGTAACTGTATCGTGTACCTCATTAGGGACGATTCAAGATTCAATGTAAATGAGTAGGTATAATATCGTTAGTCGACACTCTGCAGATATGGCTTATGTGCCAATGTATATATTATGTTATAGTTTATTCTACATTCCATGCCTATTTTTTTCTCTCGACGAAGATATGTTGTAACGCGTCTGCGCTATACGTATAGCCCGATTTTGATACGTTTATACTCGTACGTATCAAAATCGGGCTATATGATTTTTTATTTCAATCGTTATGTGTAAGAGACTGATTTTAGCTATAATTAATTTACTGGTATATACCTCATGTATTCTACGATGTACCCATCTTTTCCCTAATGAGAATTCCGCTATATCTTATATATAAATTTCGTATCACAGTGTTAGTTGCCATATTTCTCCCACATTTTGATGAAATTTGATATGTATACTTGCTAGGTTTGAGGTAGGGTTGTTATCTATTTTTTATACCCCTAAGTCATAGCGGTGGCCTACCCTGAATTTTTTTTTTGTATAATGGACAATTTTTTGTTTATTTATAATGTTACATTAAAAATACATAATGTAACTCGAAATTCTTTGGATTTTTCGAGTTACATTATTAAATATTTATTATTTATTTGGTAAAGGTCACTATTCTACACGGACGAAGTCGCGGGTACAGCTAGATAATTTATAAGACAAAACAAGGTTTGCCGGGTCAGTTAATTTATATCTATAATGAAATGAAATTCGGTTTCAAAAGAAGGACTATTAATTAAGCTTAATAGCTTAAAACTTCAATCCTAGATGAAGTGAACAGGGTCGGTCTAGGTTTTTCATTACTATTATAGAAATGTGTAACGGGGGAACACGTTACTTAGTACGAAATTGTGTATATTACAATAAAACTTAACGAGAAAATATTATAATGTCACTGGAACACTCATTGCCTTACTACTATACCGTCCATTAGTCGCGAACTTTCTGGAAGCGCGAGAGGCGCGCTCCTATTGGTCGGTCGGTGCGGTTACCGCACAACGCACATGCGCTGTACGCTTAGATGAGTCTCACAGCGCAGGCGTAAGTACTTACTATGTAATATGTATACATATGGGTGTCACAAATGT